TTAACTTGTTAATTTGTTAGAACCGAATTGAGTATTGTTCAAATTTCCAATATCGTTACCATGATGGGCATATAATGTGTCAATAATGTAAAATAGAAGTCCTTTCCAAAGATGTTGAACTTTAAATAATTTTTGCATTTCATTTTAGATAAAAACGTTTTAATTATAATATTTTATGAATATTATATTGGAAATAGAAAACAAAAATAATTTGCAGTTCAATAACTTATCCTCCGACACCAAGCTGCAGCACAAGGAAACACGCTGTATTGCTAGACAGCCATTAAATTCGAATAAAAATTATTTGATTTGAGAAGAACAATTCGAATATAAATTTATTATTAATTATTTATTGTCTGCCAACATTTCAGAAACAAAAAATTGATAGCCCCTATGGCGAACACATGTCGGCAAATAAAACGAGTATTAATCGCTGTATTTGTCAGATGCGTGGGACTTGTTTGAATGAACGACAATGTAAACACTGTCGCAATTTCCCATTGTTTTGAAATGGGACTTTTTACTTTTTGTGTTTGCTCAACTGGCGAAAAAAATTGATTTTTTTTAAATTAAAACAAGTAAGCAAAGGCTACAGTCGAGCGGGGCCGACCGTTGAATACCCTACAACACTATAATAAACGATACAGTTTATATAGGCGAGATACTCGAGAATTCCACAAGATATTGTGACAAATAATAAAAGAAAACCATCAGGTTTCGTTCTCTAATTTTCGAATAATAGCAACTTAAACTAATTTGCTCATTTCCAATTTATTGGAAGATGTTGCACGTAAATGGTCTTCCTAGATCTGGAACCAATATTTCCCAAAGACCTATAATCTCTCAGAAATGGCAAAAGATTAACATTTATTATTGGTTTTTGACAGAAACGCATCTATATGAGATACAGACATTTGACTATATTCTTCAACGAAATCAGCGTTAACGAAATAGTCAGAAGTGAGTCTTTCCTGCATTTGTGAATTCTCTAAAAAGTCGCTGGAATGGGCACTTTCGTATTTAGTCTACAAAAGTTGGCAAACTATTTTACACATTGAATATTTTTGGATGGCCATCCGAAACTGCTTGGTTTTTGCAATGTGCGGTAACCCCCATTCAAATGTGCGTGAGGATCGGGCGATAATTATGACCTGCTGACAATTTTGCAGTTTTTTGGTCCATTTTAACGCCTAAATATATAGCGATCATCTCCAAAAAGAGTAGGCATCCATTCTGACCCTCATCCTATCCGATTTCGTAAGAATCGGGCCATAAATGCGATCTGTATATGATATCCTGATATCCTAACTACTTAGTTTTGTTAGCTGTAGAAATATTACCAAATGTTTAATTCAAAATGAAAATATGCCAAAAATATGACAAAATTGAAAAAATATGAGAAAATTTTACAAAATCAATATTTTCATATTTAGAGAGATATTTTTATATGATTTTTTTAGACGTTTTTTCTTTCCTGCCCAGAGGCCATTCTGAATTAATGAGAACTGTCGAAATCAGTTCAGCCGTTCTCGACATATAAGAGATCTTTCAAGCATATCATCTTTGATAGACATATATATCGCACATATTTTGCTATATATCCGTTTTGTTGGATGTTAACATCAATGTAAAGGTCAGAAGTAACCTTGTCATGGCTTTGCGAATTCGCCGGGATTTAAAATATTCACGGTTTAATGAAAAATTTTGATTTTTTCAACACAAAATATATGGTCTATTTTATCCGCTAAATATTATCCGACGGCCACTCAATTTGGTAGGCTTCTTCCCCGCGCTAAACGTCGATTGGTCTACAATTACGACCTGTATAGCTTCTGCAAAATCCGACATTTTTTCAGTATTTGGTCCATTTCAACCCCTAAACATTTGGTGATCATCTCCAAAAGAATTTGGCTTTTATTCTGACCTTAACCCCACCTTCGTGCAAAATTTCGTTAGGATCGGGCCATAATTGCGACCTGTAGCGTGATTTCAAATTAACATGGACAGACGGACAGACGGACGGACGGACATACATAGCTAGATCGACTCAGCTCGGCGAGCTAGGAAGATCCATATATACTTTCTTACATAAATTCTGGCCCAATCAAACTTATAATACCCCCAACAAATAGTGTTGTAGGGTATAACAAAAACGTGTTGTAGTTTGTTTTATTTTCGACAAATGTATTAGTTATATTAAATGTTGTTATTTCAGATTTACAAAAATGTTATTTCAGAATACATATGAGGCAAATATATTGAATCCAATATATATGTTTAAGCATGCTCTGTGCACAGACCATAGTCTGTGGTGTCAAATGATTTCAACACTGGAGTATTTTAAAAAAGAGACCAGTTGTATGTCAATCTTCAAACACATATCCACACATAGTTATACTCAACTTTTAAAGCTTCTTAATTATTTAATTAAAAAGTTGGAGAAAATAATGAATACAAAAGTTTTCTTAACAAAACACAATGAAGTTAATAACAACTTTCATGTGGTCAAACAACAGTGGGTTACTTTTGTGGAATGTAATTAAAAAAATAGTAAAGAAAGTCTTAAAGTCGGACCAAATCCGTTTCAGAACGTTTCGTCGATCTAGCGATGTCCGTCCGTCCGTCTGTATGTATATCTGGCTGGCTGGCTGGTGCGCACGATAACTCTCGAAGGGAGTATCCGATTTGGTCCAAACTTTGTACATCGTAATATTTTTGTTAAACTTAGATCGAGTTCGGAGATGGGCAATATCGATCCACTCCTTCTGATACCTCCCCCACAAAAGGTCGAAAATTTCAAAAAATATACTTTTTGCACAGAAAGAGAAAGGGTAATCCGATTTTGCTCCAACTTTGCAAATTCTAATATTTGCATCAATGCTAGGTCAGGTGTAAAAATGGACAATATCGGTCCACTCCATCAAGTACCTCCACCACAAAGGGTCAAAATTTTGAATAGTTACAACCCTCATAAAATGTGATATAACAGTCCGATTGTCTTCAAAATATCGGTCCACTCCTTCTGGTACCTCCCCCACACAAGGTCGAAATTGTCAAAAAAAAAACACATGATCTTTTAAAAAGGTAGAGATCGGACCATTCCTACTGCTACCTCCCCCACAAAGGGTCAAAGTTATGAATAACCAAAACGTTTATAAAATCCGAAATAAGCATCAGGTTCTCTTTATATTTCACACATCCCATTATGTCCACTAACAAAAGATGCGATGTGAAGATGGGATACATCGGCCCAATCCTTCTGGTACCTCCCCCACAAAGGCTCAAAATTTAGAATATCCATAAGCTCATAAAAAACGAAATTGACATCCGATTCTATTCGAGACTTGGTACATCCAAAAATTTCCATTAACACAGTCCAAGCATAGCAAGTCGCAATATTTATATCGTATTTATTTAGGTCCGATACGAAATGGCCAAAATTGGCCAATTCTTTCGAAACCACTTGCGTAAGGGGTTAAACATTTGAATAACAGAACAATAGAAGTCAATATATTTTCAAAAAATCGAACATTGGCTGAGGGTATACATCTGTCGGCAAAATCGACCGATACTATTTTACTTGTTATGGAAGAATTCAATCATACACGCTATGATTATAATTATAATTTAAAGTTCAAAGGACTAAATATGCCGAAGCATTTGTATCTTTTAAATTCGGACTTGTATTGCCCATTTGGTGCACAATTATTTTGAAATCGCATAAAAATATATATGGGAGCTATATCCAAATCCGAACCGATCTCGTTAAAACTTGGGAAAAGTTTTTCTGAGCTGTATGTGATATATTTCACCAAATATTGTTGTTAAAGAGTGCATATTACGGCTGCGGAAGACTAAAATAACAAATCGGATGAAAAATATAGGAGCTATAGCTATATCTGAACCAATGTCGATCAAATTTGGCATACTTAATTGCAGGCCTGATTTGGTTGGATGAGCAAAATTCCATACTGTTCGGGCTGATAATACACGTTTGGTGCACAATAAACGACAAATCGGACGAAGATATATAGGTGCTATATCTTAATTTTTAACGATTATCTCTAATTTCAAAAGGGTTCGTCCTTGGACCAAACAAATGATTTGTGCAAAATTTCATCTCGATCGGGCAATAAATGCGAACTGTACTTTGTTTACAAAAATACATGGACAGACGGACGGACTGACATGCATAAATCGACTCAGAATGATTCTATGCAGATCATTAAAAGGAACTATGGGTCAATCTCGGTTCCTTTTGCCTGTCACAAACAAATGCACAAGGACATAATGCCCTGACCACCTTGTGGTGTAGAGTATAAAAACAAGTAAAGTGGCAGTAAGTTCGGCCGGGCCGAACTTTTAATACCCTCCATTATTTAGAAGGAAGGAATCTCGAAATTAAAAAAAAAGGGAGGTACCGTTATATGGGGGCTATACAAGACAGGCTATAGTACCCATTACGAACTACAAATACGAAGTTTGAAAAGATTTCGGTGAATAATGTCGCTAGAATCATCAAAGTGCCGAATATAGGTAGGTATCGTTATATATGGGCTATACGAAGACCTTAACAAACGATTGTTTTCTCATCGGAGAAAACGAAATTCGACAATTTACCACTTTCGGCCAAGCGAAGCAACTTTTTAGCTCTTTTGTGTCTATTTTCTTTCTGCTGCGGTGTAAGTTCTTGAATTTTTTGGAATTTCAAGGGCTTAAACCCGAGCTCATTTTTCAATATTTGGCGAATGGAATATTGCAATATGTTCAGCTCACGAGATGTTAACAGCTGTCGGGCAAGTGGCTTGGAAATGGCAGCAGTACAGAAACGTGCCATTAATCTTCTAAATAATACTTTACAATTTGTGTTTGCCTGCAGCTCTTATTACCCACTGTGTCGGAATCTAAATTACGAATATAAAAAAAAGCAATTTTGAGTACAATCAACTTGGCTTGGCTAACAGCACGTTTCGTCAAAATCTAAATACAAATTATCGCCAACAGCCGACATCCAAAAGCCAAAGCTCCAGTACAACTCTAGACTTCAAGCAATAGAAACGGATTTCAACGGTCATGTGGTGGCTTGGAATAATTGCAATTTTCCTATACATTCTGTACAAAGCTCAGTATGGGTTTTGGAAACGTCATCCGGCAGTGCCAAGTTTGCCGGGTAGAATATTCAGTGGAAATCTATTGGATTTTCTTTTGTTCAAAACAAATTTCGGCTATCATTTAAAGAAAATCTACGATGATCCTGCTTTTACCGATAAACCGGTGGTGGGCATTTATGGACTGTATCGTCCCTCTTTGCTGATCAGGGAACCGGAATTAATTAAACGGATATTGATCAAGGATTTCGATTGTTTTCACAATCGTTTCCATGACATCGATGTAAAGTATGATCCCATTGGAGGCCAAATGATGTTCTACACCTCATTCCGGTTGTGGAGGGAAATGCGCCAAAAGCTGAGTCCTGTCTTTACCAGTGCCAAATTGAAACACATGTACCCTTTGATACAAAATGTGGCGAAAAATATTGAGGGGTATTTGGGGAAACAGAAAAGCATTCACCCGCTAGAGATGAAGAACTTTTGTGCCCGTTACACCAGTGATATTGTGGCCACCACTCTGTTGGGTTTCAAATCGAATTCTCTGGAAAATCCCTCCGAAGAACTGTGGAAGGAAATCGCGTTAATGGCTTATTTTAACCTCAAAAGGGCCATTGATTTTATGGTTATACTCTTCGTTCCCAAGATGGCTCGTCTGTTTCGTTCCAAGTTGTTTTATAAGAAAACGGAGGATTTTCTCAGGGACTCCATAACGCATGCCATCAAGGAAAGAGAGCTCAGTGGGTTGCCACGCAATGATTTGATAGATATGTTCGTCAAGCTGCGCGAGGAAGCTGCCGACGATGACAGGGATATGGATAAGTTTATGGAAACCTTAATAGCCCAGGGGGCGATTTTTATTGCGGCAGGGTCGGATACCTCTTCTACGACCATGTCAAATGCTCTCTTTGAATTGGCCAAACAGCCGGAAGTGCAGAAGAAACTGAAAGAGGAGATACGGCAAACCTTTGCCCTGGACGAGGGCTCCACAATATCCTATGAAAATCTTAACAATATGAAATACCTGGATATGGTCATCAACGAAACATTGCGTTTATACCCGGTGCTACCCATATTGGAGAGGAAATACCAGAGGCCAGAGGGAACATCTGGCGACTATTCACTGAAGCCATTTTGTGATTTTGAGTTAAGTAATGATATGCCCATCTATATTTCGCTGTTTGGTTTGCATTATGACCCTAAAGTGAGTCTGAAAATTAAGATTTACAAAAAATTAAAAATTTAAATTTTCTTTTTCCAGTACTGGTCCAATCCCATCAAATTTGATCCGGAGCGTTTTTCACCCGAAAACAAATCCACGCTAAATCCCATGGCGTATTTACCCTTCGGCATGGGTCCCCACAATTGCATTGGCAGCCGTTTGGCATTGCTCCAGATGAAATGTGGTCTGGTGCATTTATTGCATAATCATCATGTTCGAGTTGGCAAGCGAACGTGCCTTAAACCAGAGTTTGAAACAAAATCTATATTATTTGAAATTAAGGGTGGCATTCATTTGGAAGTTGTAAAGGATATTGATTTCAGCGAATAAAATAACATCGAGGAGAAAATGTATTTTCGGATCTTAAATATGGAGAGACAATTTTAAGGATTCATTTTCCAAATACAACCACTGAAATAGCAAAAATTCCTTGGAGAGATCTTCTAAAAATAGAAGGCCCAGTGGGGTCTTTTAACGACAGAAGACCTTTGGTGGTTTTCTGCAGCTAGATACCGAGAACTTTATAGAGGTCTTCGAAATCTTGGAGAAGTACTTCCATAAAGAATACAATTATGATTTAAAAAGTTAGTTAGTCTGAAAATCCTTGAAAATTAACAAAAACAAGTAAGTAAAGGCTATAGTCGTGCGGGGCCGACAATGTGATACCTTACAACGTGTTGGAAGCTCCCATATGTCCAAATTCATTTTGGAAGATTTCGATATTGAAATAATGTCATAGAGGCCTGCCCAGATGTTACCGTTATTTACGTACTCCGCCGTGTTGTTATGTATTCGAAAAAAATTACAAAAAATGACATGGTCCATTTTAAAGCTAAATATATGTTTTTTTTTTTTTTTTGGTCCATTTGAACCCCTGAATTTAAATCTCCATAACAGTAGGCTTTAATTCCTACCCTAACACTACCCCATGCAAAATTTCGTGAAGATCGGACGATAATTTCGAACTGTGTATAATACCTTGTAGAAAAACTTTGAAAAATTTACAATTCAAAATTGTACAAAATTGAATAAATCGCATGCGATAAAAAATATGATAAAAATTGAAAAAAAAAATTGTAACAAAAAATATTCACCTTTTATTGGCATATTTTTAAGCGAGTAAATCGGACGAAGTTATATGTGGGAGCTATATCCAAATCTGAACCGATCTCGATAAAATTTAGCAAATGTATTTCTGAGCTGTATTTGCTATATTTCCCCAAATATTGTTGTTACAGAGTGCATATTACGGTTGCGGAGGACAAAAATAACAAATCGGATGAACAATATATATGGGAGCTATAGCTATATCTGAAGATTAGCCTTAAAGCAAATACAACAAATTTGGAGAAAATCGGTGCAGAAACAGCTATAGCTCCCATATATATCTTCATCCGATTTCGGGTTAAATGTGCACCAAATGTCCACTATCAGTCCAAATTACCTGAATTTTGGCACACCCAACCGAGTTCGGCCTAGAAGCAAGTATATCAAATTTGGAGAAAATCGGTTCAGATATAGCTATAGCTCCCATATATATCTTTCATCCGATTTGGTGTTTAAGCCTCTCACATTCGTAATATGCACTCCACAAGAATGATATTTGGTACCAGATATAAGATACAGCCCAGAAATAGCTGTTTGTAATTTTATCAAATCGGTTCAGATTTGGATATAGCTCCCATATATATCTTCATCCGATTTCGGGTTAAATGTGCACCAAATGTCCACTATCAGTCCAAATTACCTGAATTTTGGCACACCCAACCGAGTTCGGCCTAGAAGCAAGTATATCAAATTTGGAGAAAATCGGTTCAGATATAGCTATAGCTCCCATATATATCTTTCATCCGATTTGGTGTTTAAGCCTCTCACATTCGTAATATGCACTCCACAAGAATGATATTTGGTACCAGATATAAGATACAGCCCAGAAATAGCTGTTTGTAATTTTATCAAATCGGTTCAGATTTGGATATAGCTCCCATATATATCTTCATCCGATTTCGGGTTAATTGTGCACCAAATGGCCGATATAAGTCCAAATGGACTGAATTTTAGTACATCGGACCAAATTCAGCCTAGAATATCAAATTTAGTGAAAATCGGTTCAGATATAGATATAGCAACCATATATATGTTTCATCCGATTTAGAGTTTTAGTCCCATACATTCGTAATATTCACTCCACAACCGTGATATTTGGTACCAGGTATTAGATGGAGCACAGGAATAGCTGTTCTAAATTTTATCGAAATCGGTTCAGATTTGGATATAGCTCTCATATATATCTTCATCCGATTTCGGGTTAAATGTGCACTAAATGGTCAATATCAGCCCAAATCCCCAGTCTAGAAGCTAATACGTCAAATTTGGAGAAACCCGGTTCAGAGATAGCTATAGTTCGTAAAATGCACGATAGAATTAGATAGATTTTGATTTTGTACCAAATATCTCATAGAGCTCTGAAATGCCCTGTATAAACCTTTTTACGAGAGCTCTACTAAATATGCATAGTGGTGTAGGGTATCATATAGTCGGCCCCGCCCAACTTTTGAGCTTTCCTTACTGTTTTTTTTTTTTTTTTTTTTTTTTTGAAAATTTCAACAATTTTTGGTGGTGGTACCAAACTGAGTTGACCGATATATTTAATTTAAACGCCAGACTTTGGGTTAATATAAATATTGGGATGTGTGAAATTCGAAGACAATCGGACTCTTATATCACATTTTATGAGAGTTGTAATTATAAGAAATTTTGACCATTTGTGGGGAGGTACTTGATGGAGTGGGCCGATATTGTCCATTTTTCATACCTGATCTAGCACCGACGCAAATATTAGTTGGAGCAAAATCGGATTATCTCTTTTTTTGTAGAAAATATATTTCTTGAAAATTTCGATCTTTTATAGGGGGTGGTAGCAGAAGGAGTGGACCGATATTGCCCTTCTCCGGACTCGATCTAAGTTTGACAAAAATATTATAATGTACCAAGTTTGGACCAAATCGGATACTTCGTTCGAGAATTATCGTGCGCACCATTCAGCCAGACGGAGGGACGGATGGACATCGCTAGATCGACTCCAAATGTCCTGAAACGGTCTTGGTCTAAAGAGACCTAGGGTCTAAAACCGTTATTTCGAACAAACACGTTTTGACCGTATCGAATGATATATATGTACCTCTCTCTCTCTCTCTACTTGAAAATAATTTTTAAAAAATATGTCGGTAAAAATTATTATAAAGTCTTGTCTTCAAAAGGTCTCCTATTAACAACGCCTCTCTACTCAATGAGCAAAACTATGACCTTCTTTCAATATTTCTCAGCTCTTCTTCCAATATTCCAAGAGGATATTGCAGCTTCATGAATTGACTCAAAACCAAATATCTCAGATCAGTTCCAAAGTTAAACTCAATCGAAGATGATTGCGGTAGCTAAAATACTCTTTCGCTTGACTATCGCGTATTCAGTTTTAATCATCCTCTACCGACAACAACAACCACATACATTTGCCAATGCTTCACCACCCAGTGCGGAATTAAGTTTCTGCCTAAAACAACCAACAACATCTCACACCCTTCAAACTTTTTGGCATGATGCCAACAACAACGACTGCCAGTTGGAAGCAAAGCAGCTGATTGATCTATTCAAGCGTCTCCAGCAAAAACTTGTCGCCGATCAAGATCGTTGTAGTCTTTTGTTCGTACACCAGATACGTAAGAAACTGATTGCAGTTGTAGGTCAACAGCTGGAAGAAGCTCTCATAACATCGACGCTGAGAGATAATTCTGAATTGGAGCTTTTATTGGAAGAGATCGCACGATTTGATAAGCGTATTTTGGAGGCACTATGGCAGCGTACTCTCGCAGAGATTTATTTATTTGTTAACCAAGAAGAGCTAATCGAGAAAATTATGCAACAAAGAAGTGAAGAAAGTCAAGTTTTAGCTTTGAGAATGCTCTCAAGAGAGAACAGCTTACACATAGAAGAGAATCCACGCCTAAAGCCACTATTAGCTTTTGCTATTAGCAAACTCTTAAATTCAAAATCCATACGCGGAGATCTTAAAGAAGAATTAAATCGATTTAAAGAGCAATTGCCTCAAGAGTTGATCCTGCTCTATTCCCAGCTATGGCGGCAATCATCAATTGGCCTCTTGAATTTTGGCCACTGGGAATTTCTATATGCTCCGCGTGAAAATGGACCCGACAATAGCAGACGCCTACCACTCACCTGGAGTAAAAACAAGAATTCCACAGACTCCGATGGTCATTTTTTGGTGGAATTTAACGGCTCCGGTCTCATAGCCATAGCTAGTCGTTATGGTTCGAGTTTCAAGTATCTCTACGCCGATGTTGAAAATCAAGCTCCATTTTTTTGGATTGGTCCAGGGAATAAAATCAATCTACAGTGGTGGCAGGTTGTGTGGCCCCATGCTAAAGCCAATCTAGGTGAGGGACAACGTCCCATTGCCTTGCAAAGTAAGGAGACGGGGGATTTTCTCTGTGCCACATCAGGCTACGATGAAAATCGTCGTTATGTTGTATTGATGCAGGATGGGGCGGGCAGATCCGATTGTCTGTGGCTTGTACGAGAGTTCGTATGAAAAAGAAATACCTATAAAATAAAAATTTTAAAATTTTGTAACGGAACTTTTTCAAAAATTTGATGACGAATTTAAAAAGAAAAACAAATAATAAAAAAATTAAAAAAATAAATATTTAAAAACACGTTGTAAAATAAATTAGTCTAAACAAGTTAGAAATTATCAGTCGTTTTGCCGACAGATGTATACCCTCAGCCAATTTTCGATTATTTAAATATATTTGGTCTTCTCTTATGATTATTCAAATGGTTGAGCCTCTATGAAGTAGGTTCTGAAGGAATGGGCCAGAATTGTCCATTTTGTATCGGAACGAAAAAATATGAAATAAATATTGCGACGTGGCCGTATTGAACTATATTTGTTACTATGAGATATGTGATAATTTTTAGAAAATGGTAAAATATGTGAGAGTTACCAGATGTAATGGACCGAAGTACTCCATTTTTATACCCTCCACCATACATACAGGGTTGCCCATATTCGACGGACCTTTGGGCCCTTTTGGCCCATTCCAATCGACGAGGCTTGTCCGCAGGCAGCATTCTTTGCGTCAATTGAATTTTGTACGGGAACAAATGCAAATCAATGCGAATAATCCGTTGTAAAGTGGACCGAGCCATGCCCAACTGCTGAGAACGGCGTTTTTGGGATGTTCTTGGGGACCTCTCGACTCTGGCTCGTACGGCAGCGATATTATCGGCCGATCGCCTTGTTCGACTTTTATATGGCCTCTTCGGATTAGAAAGAGCCTAGGAAGCTAAAATTTTGCACAGATCTCTCTTTGGTCTGCAGGCAGGTCAAGTTCGAAGATGGGCTATATCGGTCCACGATATCGTATAGCCCCCATATAACGGTACCCCCCGATATTCGGTATTTTGAAGATTTTAGCCACATTTTTCAATTAAATTGTCTGAAAATCCACACAAGGAGTTCCTTTTGAGAACTTTATACCTTGGGAGAGAATTATCTATATAGGTCCACGATATCGTATAGCTCCCATATAACTTTACCTCTCCGATATTCGGTATTTTGATGATTTTAGCCACATTTTGTAATGGAATTGTCTGAAATTCTACACAAGAAGTTCTTTGTGAGTATTTTACCCCCTGAAAGAGAATTGTCTATATAGGTCCACGATGTCGTATTGCCCCCATATAACGGTAGCCCCGATATTCGTTATTTTAATGATTTCAGACACATTTTCCAATGGAATTGTCTGAAATTCCACACAAGGAGTTCTTTGTGAGTGCTTTACCCCCAAACATAGATTTGTCTATATAGGTCCACGATATCGTATATCCCCCCATATGTAGGCACCTTCCGTTGTATGGTATTTTGAAAATTTTAACAGAATTTTAATGGATTTTATTTTTTTTTTTTTTTAAATATTCTAATTCGTGTCAAATGGTAGAGGGTATTCAAAGTTCGGCCCGGCCGAACACTCTGCTTTTTTACTTGTCATACTTCATCTAATACAGATAAAAATATTGGTATGGCCAAAAAATCGAACATTTATATCCAATTCTATGCGACATCATAAATTCTATATTTATTATGAGAAAAATATGTAGATATAGCCAATTGTAAAGAATCGCTGACTGGTTTTGCAAGTTCTGACAAACCATACATTGAAAATTGTGAACCACAAAGGGTGAGGTACCAGAAGGCGTTGGTAGATATCTATCATCTTCACAACAGATCTTGTATTAGGAAAAATGTTTGTATGTGTGAAATTTGAATAGAGTTGGATGCTCTACTATGTGGGGGAGGTACCAGAATATCTACCAACTTTATAACAGATCTTGTGTTCATGAAAATATTTAGATGTACCAAGTCTGAATGGAATCGGATGATAATTTCGTGTTTTATGAGCTTCATGGGTATTCAAAATTTTGACCCTTTGTGGGGGAGGTACGAGAAAGGGTGCACCGATATATTCCATCTTCACAGCAGATCTTGTGATAGTAGAAATAATGGAATGTGTGAAATAAAAAGAGAATCCAATGCTTATTTCGGATTTTATGATCGTTTTGGTTATTTAAAACTTTGCGCATTTGTGGGGGAGGTACCAGAAGGAGTGGTCCGATTCCTAACATCTTTATTACAGATCTTGTTGACAAAATGTTGACAATTTGTGTGGGGGGGGGGGTATCAGAAGGAGTGGACCGGTATCATCCATATTCACACCAGAACTTGGGTTAATGTGAATATTGAGGTGTCTGTAATTTGAAGACAATCGGGCTTTTACATTACATTTTGTTAGAATTATAATTATTCAAAATGTTGACCCTTTGAGGGGGAGGTACTTGATGAAGTGACAATATCGGTATTGTCCATTTTCTCACTTGACCTAGCACTGATGCACGTATAAGGCTTAGCAAAGTTAGAGGAAAATCGGATTATCCTCAGAATAAATGCCGAATATTATCGCGAAAGTATTCTGGAGGGTGTATTAAAACCGTGGGCACGCAAACATTTTGGACGCAAACCTTGGATATTCAAACAGGACTCAGCACCATCCCACTCACCACGCACCACCCAAGAATGGTTACATAATGAGGATCCTCGCTGCATTTCCAGCGCAGAATGGCCACCAAAATCTCCGGATACCAATCCGTTGGACTATTGTGTCTGGAGTATTTTGGAAAAGGTTGGCACTAAAAAATACCAAAGTGTCGATCACCTCAAGCAAGCGCTTCGCCGGAAATGGCCCAAAAAACACCAGAGCAACATTTGGGCTGCGTGTGACGGTGTTATTGACCGGTTGAAAGCCATAGTTCGTGCCATTGGTGACCAATTCGAACTAATCTAAACTTATTCTAAAATTTGATGCTATTTCCGACATTTTTTGCTTTCATTCAATAAAATTTAAAAAAAAAAAATGTAAAAATTATGGCGTTTGACTTTGTTGCAGTGTTTTATCTCACCATGTATAACTCCCATAAAATAATAAAAATAAAAATCGAAATAAGTATCCGATTGCCATAAAATTTCACACATCCAAGAATTTCTACTAACACGAAACCTGGTATGAAGATGGTAGATATTGATCCTCTACTGCTGTTACCTCTCAAACAATGGGTGAAGAATTTTAAAACCGAACATTAACCGATTAACATTCTTAGAAAAGGCGTTTGATCTCTGAAAAAATATTTTCTTAAAATCCATATTTAAGCGTCAGTCGAATACACTCCACCATTTGGAACGAATTTGGCAATTCTCAAAAACAATAAAATCCGTTAAAATTCTGTTAAAATCTTAAAAATACTGAATGTAGCTATTATGGGGGCTATACCAAAACGTGGACCTACATGTCCAATCAAAAGTCCTGCAGACATAACATACATTTGAGGAAAATTTTCAATCTACTTCAATTCGTTCGGAAGCTAGAGTGATTTCCACAGACGGACGGACATCGCTAAATCGACATAGAATTTTATGCTGATCAAGAAAATAGTATATATATATATGTATATTGTGGGGTCTAAAATGTGTATTTCGAGGTGTTACAAACGGAATGACAAACTTAATATACCCTCCATACTATGGTGGAGGGTATAAAAAATGCGGGTTTGACTGTCTGACCAGTCCGTCAGATAGAATATTAAAAAAAACTCATTTGAAGGTCTTGTAAACCTTTAAGAAATAATAAAAAAAATCCGCATTTAGTTCTCGTGGTTCCTGATAGCATTTTCTGAAAGACCTTAAAATATAAATTCCATTTAATTTTTAAATTCATTTTTTTTTAATTCTTTTGTCTTCAAAAAAATATTCCCGTTTCTTAGTCTTTGAAAATATTCTTAAATTCAACTTTATTCCAATAATTCATTGTCGCACATATCGTCTCGAACAAATTCCAAATTCATGCCACCCTTCAGTTGAAGAACAAATGCCTTTGGATCAAAGTCAAGTTGCTTCATTGTACGATCGCCCATTCTCACCTTGTGATTCTTAAGGATATGCATCAGACCACATTTGGTTTGCATTAGACCCAAACGATTGCCCACACAGTTGTGTGGACCATTGCCGAAGGGTAAATATGTCATTGGGTTAATTGAATTTTTGTTGTCCGACGAAAATCGTTCAGGTCGAAATTGCCAAGGATTGGGCCAATACTAAAAAATAACAACAAAAAATTAGTTCCTACAACAAATCATTGTGGGAAAAGGTCCTTACCTTTTCATCGTAGTGTAGTCCAAATATCGGTATGTAAATGGGCATACCCTCGGGAAGGGCATAATCACAATATGGCATCAAAGAGTATGGCTGGGAAATACCCTCCTCCGCCTTGCCATGTTTTCGTTCAAGTATGGGCACCGGAGGATACATTCTCAGGGTTTCATTGACGATCATTTCCAAATATTCCATGGAATTGAACGATTCATAAGATAGTTCTCCGCTGGTGTCTTTGAAGGCCCCCAGGATTTCCTTTCGTAGTTTTTCTTGCACTTCCGGCTGCTTGGCCAGCTCAAAGAGGGCAAAGGACATTGTGGTGGCCGAGGTCTCATAACCAGCTGCCAAAAATACAATGGCCTGGGAGTACATGGTTTCCATAAAGGAAGCGAGGTCCTTGGGGCCTTCAAAAGAAGCTTCCTGCTTAAGTTTTATGATAATATCGATTAAATCATTGCGTATCCGACCGCCTACCTCTCTTTCCTGGATAATCTGCTGTAGAGAGGCTACCAAATATTCTTGGCAATTTTTTTCAAACAGTTTAGCCCCAAAAAGTCGTACCAATTTGGGGGCAAAAAATATAATGACCACTTGTAGGGCTCTTTGCAGATCAAATAAACCCAATTTCCGTATTTCAATGTGCATTTTCTCCTCGGGATTCTTCAGAGAATCGGAAGAGAATCCAAATATTGTGGTGGCAATGACATCGGTGGTAAAGCGGGCACACACATCCTTTACTTCCATGCAAAACACCTGTCCCTGCCTCGCCATGTGATCGCTCATATTTGCACCCACACTCATCAGGAGAGGGAACATGGATTTCAATTTTCCACTCGAAAACATGGGGGAAAATTTCGAACGCATTTCCTTCCACAATTTGTAGTCACCAAAAAATATACTCTTCGCAGCAATGGGATCGGTGTGGACATCCGGTTTTGAGTAGCGATTACAAAATCTATCAAAATCCTTGATCAATATAGACTTGATGAGTTCCGGGTCGCGTATCAGCAAACTCGGTTTGTAGAGACCATAAACACCCACGACAGATGAGTTGGCGAATTTGGGATCCTCATAAACTTCCCTCAGAGCGAATCCAAAATTTGTCCTAAACAATATAATGTCCTTAAGATTGGAACAAAAAATCTGACCACGAACACTTGGAACATTTCTGTATTTTTTCCAAAAGGAAAAATTCACTTTGTAAAGATGGCAAATAAGACCCAGCACACAGGCGACAAGGAGTGCCGAAATTTGCAATAACATTTTGTTGAAAAAATTCAATCCAGACTGATTGAAAATTTATTTGTGTTTTGGAAGATAATTAGACAGTCAAAATTCAAATTGAAATTAATTACAAAACAAATAACAAGTCGATAACACGATCGCTAGTAGAAAGAACCGACATCCATGACATCTACAGAAATATTCCTGTCATGCTCGAAATAATATTTCTGAAACAATTAATGAATTTTGGACTTAAACATTGATTAAAATAAAATATACAATTGAAACAAAAAACCAGTAAGGAAAGGTCAAAATTCGGACGGAGACCATCATATGATACCCTACACCACTATGCGTATTTAGTAGAGCTCCCGTAACAAACAAGTTTATATTGGGAATTTATGTGTAGTAGATAAGGATTATATATTCGATAAGGAAAAAAATTTTCTGGGAGAAAAAGATATACCGGACCGAGTTTTCCCAAATGGTAAATTTCGGTTGAATTTGCAAAAAATATATTCAATTTGGGCTAAGATTCGATCGAAATATCGAAACTATATAAAAATGAACCGATCTCGATAAAATTTGGCAGATGTATTTTCGAGCTATATCTGATGCCCAGTATCAAATATCATTGTTGTGGAGTGCACTCATTACTCATGTGAGGGACTTTAACATTAAATCGAATGAAACATATATTTGGGAGTTATAGCTATATCTGAACCGATTTTCACTAAATATTTGAAGTACTTGCTTTTAAGCTAAATTCCGTCGGAAGTGCCAATATTCAGTCCATTTGGGCTGATATTGGCCATTTAGTGCACAAAAACCTGAAATCGGATAAAGATATATATATGGGAGCTATATCCAAATCTGAACCGATCTTGAGAAAATTTCAAACACATATTTCTGGGCTGTAACCCATATAGCTGGTACCATAGATCATTGTTGTGGAGGGCATATTACGCATGTGGGGGACTTTCACTCCAACTCAGATAAAACATATATATGGAAGCTATAGCAATATCTGAACCGATTTTTGGCAAATTTGATATAGTTGCTTCAAAACTGAACTCGGTCGGGTATTCACAATACACCCTAAATTATTTGACGTAGAGCTTGAAAATTTGACAGAACAGTTTGTGTTGTGTCTAGGATGATTGGTATTGAAAATGAGATATATCGGTCCACGTTTTGGCATAGCCGTCATATAGCGGTACCTCCCGATATTCGGTATTTTGATGCATTTTGCCACATTTTTCCCACGGATTTGTCTAAAAATTGGAATTTGTAGGTCATAATGGGTTGTAGCTCCGGTGGCGAAACGTAGAATACATAGGTCCACCATTTGATATAGCCCCTATATAACGGTATCTCCCGATATTCAGCATATTGACGATTTTTGACGAATTTTCCCACGTATTCGTTTAAAAAATGGCATTTGTAGGTCATAATGGGTTCGAGCTCCGGTGGAAAAATGTAGATTATTCAGGTCCACTTTTTCCCATAACGCACGAACAACGATACCCACAGCGGTGGGTATTTTGATATTCCTAGTCACATCTACCCACGAAATTGTTTCGAATTTGGCAATTTGATAGATGACAATTCTTGAAGCATAAAATTTTCTATACACGTTCCCGTTTTGGTATAGCCCCCATATATCGGTCTCACCCACTTTATGGTTTTTTGAAAAGTTTAACAGCATTACCCAAACGATTTCACTTGTATTTGTAGTTTAAAGTGGGCACGTTTGAATTCAAATACTTTTACATAAAATGTTTCATTTACCCAATGGTGGGGGGTAATAAAATTTCGGCCCAGCCGAACTAAATTTTTTTACTTCTTTATTTTTGAGCCAGATTTTTTTCCGGAAGTGTGGCTTTGAGAGGCCCTTTATAACTACAAAACTTCTCATATTGAAGCGATAATTCACTTTCATTCAAATTTTATCAGTATCTTGAAATTCAATTAATTAAACCGGGATTACGGCTCACATGCAATTTAAAATATTGATTTCAATTCATTGAGGCTATTGAACTGAAAATATATTTTTATTCGAAATGCATTCTTAAAAACTGATATGAATTTGTGCGAGTGTTTTGGGCAGGCCAATGATAAAGAATCTTATTTGTGTGTAACTGGTAGAAACAAGGAAACTAAAAATAGGAAACAGAGCAATCGAGGGAAATATTGAGATGTACCATCTCTGAATGTAATCGGATGTTAATTTCGCATTTTATGATCTTCATGGTTATTCAAAATTTTGACCCTTTGTGGGGAAGGTACCCGAAAGAGTAGACCGATATATCCTATCGTCACAGCAGATTTTGTGTTAGTTGAAATAATGAGTTGTGTTAAATACGAAAAGAATCAGATGCTTATTTCGGATATTATAATCGTTTTGGTTATTCAAAACATTGACCGTTTGTGGGGAGGTACCAGAAGTAATGGTTCGATTTCTTCCATATATATTACAGATATTTGCCGATAGAAATATTGAGATGTACCAAGTTTGAATGGAAGCGGATGTTAATTTCGCATTTTATGATCTTCATGGATATTCAAAATTTTTACCCCTTGTGGGGCAGGTACGCGAAAGAGTGGACCGATATATCCCATCTTCACAGCAACCATTGTGATAATAAAAATATTATGATGTGTGCAATTTTAAGACAATTGAACTCTTACATCACATTTAATAGGAGCTATAACTATTCAAAATGTTGACCCTTTGGGGGGAGGTACATGAAGGAGGGGACCGATATTGTCCATTTTCGTACCTACCCTAGAACTGATGGAAATATTTGGATTTGTAAAGTTGGAGCAAAATCGGATCAACCTTTCTCTTTGTGTGCAGTAAAATATTTTTTTTGAAAATGTCGACCTTTTGTAGGGGATGTACCAGAAGGAGTGTACCGATATTGCATCTCCGAACTCGATCTATGTTTGACAATAATATTACGATGTACCAAGTTTAGGCCAAATCAGTTACTCCCTTCGAAAGTTATCGTGCGCAGCAGCCAGAAAGGCAGACGGACGGACGGACGGACGGAGATCTCTATATCAACTCCAAATGTCCTGAAACGAATTTGGTTCAAAGAGACGATGAGGCACGTTTTGGCCATATTACCATAGTCAAATAAAGGTATAGACTAAAAAGTTTTAAAATTTCCCCTTCCGGCAAATGTCACTATTGTTGATCTTGGGCCAGTCAAGTCACTCAGGGCTAGTGAAGTCACTCGACTTCGAAAACAATTTATTCATTTTCCTGCTATTTAAGTTCTATATTTTTATATTTCACGACATATTTGGATAATGTAAAAATAAACAAAGTCGATGTTTTTTTTTTCTTTAATCAATAAATAATAAAGGATGATAAAAATATTTCATATTTTGTATTTTGAGAGAATTGAGTGAGTCTACTGAACCTCTCTCACAGCATGAACGACATCTATTGAAGCACTTTTTTCAGTGATAACAGATGAGACAACTTTTTAGTCTATACCTAATTTGGCACTTAAAAATAGCAAAGTGTCGATCACTTCAAGTAAGCGCTTCGCCGGGAATGGGCCCAGATACCGCAGAGCAACATTGGGGCAGCGTATGACGGTTTCATTGGTCGTTTGAAGGCCATAATTCGTGCCAAAGGTGACCAATTCGAACAAACCTAAACTTATTTCAAAAGTAGATGCCATTTCCGACATTTGTATTTGACCCTGTGGCAATTTTTTTATCTCACCCCGTATATAGCCTTTTTCAATCGAAAATAAGAGAAGAAACGATTAACTCCCTCAGGCCTTCTTTTTCTTCAGAATCCTTTATAGATTTTCTACAAAATATTCTTGAGATCATCTGGAATATGAAAGGAAGATCTTCTGTAGGCACATATCAAATCTACTTTATATACATGACTTTATTCGGCTACAAATTTGGCACACTTTCTGTTAAAAAAAAATTTTTTTTCATAACGTCTTTAAGCAGAACCGCTTTCTAAGGTCTTTTAAAGGAAAAAGTCCATCCTCAGACCGAAGACCTTCCTTCGATCCACTAACGATGCAATTTAGCTTCAACACCCTTTTCCCATATTCTAATAAACACTTTACTACTTATAGTACTGTATTTATTTCTCATCCTTAACAATCTCCAAAAACACTCCTCCCTTAACCTGTAAAACATTTGCTTTGGCTTCGAATTTCGGTTCGATCTCCGTGCGATTACACACCCGGACATAGTGATCTTTTAGAATATACGATAGACCGGCTTTCACTTGTATCATGCCCAAACGGGTGCCAATGCAATTGTGGGGACCATTACCAAACGGCAAATGGGCCATGGGATGTCTGTTGGCCTTTTGCTCCAATGAAAAACGTTCTGGGTCAAATTTCCGGGGATTTGGCCAAAACTAAGAAAAGAGAAAAACAATTGTTACTTCTAAAAAACATTTTTACAGATCAATGCTCTCCCTACCTTCTCATCATAATGCAGGGCATAGGGTGATATATAAATCGGCATACCCTCGGGTAGGGTAAAATCACAGTATGGTTTCAAGGAATAGGCCGGCTTCCCTGGTGGTGTGGCATAACGTCTTTCCAGCGAAGGTAATACTGGATATAACCTCAAGGTTTCATAGATTACCATGTCCATGTAGTTCATTTTGCTTATGGCGTCATATGAGATCACCCCCTGGCCCTCCACAAAGGCCTCCTTGATTTCATCTCTTAAACGTGATTGTAATTCCGGTTGCTTGGCCAATTCCAGCAGGGCATTGGACATTGTTGTCGACGAGGTTTCAAATCCTCCGATCATGAAAATACCTGCCTGGGCCATGAGACATTCCATGAATTTATCTATCTCCCACTCCCCCTTCTCCGCGGCTTCTTGTTTCAATTTCACAAAAATATCAATGATGTCATTACGTTTCTCACCCCCACTGTTGGCGGTCTCCCTCTCCGCAATAGCTTGTGTTATGGCCACCCTGAGGAATTGCTCCGTCTCGGGATAGAGAATCTTACAACCCATAAGCCGTTGCAATTTGGGGGCAAACATGACCACAATAAAATCGAATGCCCGGTGCCATGTGAAATAGGTTAGACGACGCACTTCCTTGTGGAAATCTTCCGAGGGATTTTCAAGGGAATTCGATTTGAAACCAAACACCGTTGTGGCTATAACATCGGTGGTAAATCGAGCACACAAATCTCTTAATTCAGTTTGAAAAACCATCGGCTGGGAATGCAAAAATTTCGACATATTTTCTCCGACCTGTTGGATCAGAGGATACATGTTCTTTAGCTTCCCACTGGTGAAGGTTGGCGTCAGCTTGGTGCGCATTTCCTTCCACAATGGATAGTCGCCAAAAAACATCATTTGCCCACCCAAGGGGTCGTGGTGATAGTCCAGTTTGGTAAAACGATCGCGAAAATACTCGAAATCTTTGATCAGCACCGATTTGATCAGATCCAAATCTCGTATCAGCAAACACGGCTTGTACAGCCCATAGACACCCACTACGGGAGCGGTGGTGAATTTCTCATCATCGTATATCGTTTTCAGATGATAACCAAAATTAGTTTTAAATGTTATAAAATCGAAGAAATTCCCACTGAATATTCGACCCGGTCCACTGGGTACACTCTTAAAACGCGTCCAGTAACTGAAGTTGCGATGATATAAAAAGCCCAAAGCTAAGATAATTACTACCACCGAAAACACTACAGCGATGAGCAACATTCCGTCGAAACCTTTAGAGCAGTGCGTGAATTCAAAACGACTGTGGGCGACTATCGCAAATGAGGTAGTCAGTTTGGGTTGAACTTGTTTTTTCTTTGCTTCCTCTTCTTCTTTTTTTAGGTATCGCAGTGAGGGTCATTCGCAAAGTTGCCACTCAAGTGTTATCAGCGAATTCGTAAAATTATCAATCGACACGGAAATACAATGCGAATGCAGTGAAGCGAATTCCAAAAAGAGGAAAAATATTGAAATGTTGAAAATTTTTGCAGGAGATTTTTTTTTGTTTATAGGTGCTCCACAAAACAAGGACACCCGGAGGAATGCTGTGGCTAGAAGACCTTATAAAAGTATTTTATAGACCAAAGACAGATTTGTACAGAGAGAATACTTTTAATGGTTTTCTCTAGAGAGAAAATGTTCATACTCCCCACCATACCTAGCATGGAGGGTATATTAAGATTGTCATTCCATTCCGTTCAGCAAAATTCTAAGACGATTTAGCCTTGTCCGCCCGTCTATCCATTGTAATCACAAATTAAGATAGGAATTAAAACGAATAAAAATAGGAAGCTTAAATTTTGCCCAGATATGTCTTTAGTCTGCAGGCAGGTCAAGTTCGAATATGAGCTATATCGGTCCACGATATCGTATACCTCTATATATATAGGCTCCTCCCGATATTCGTGATTTCGTGATATTGGCGACATTATCCACCGGAATTGTTTCAACCTTCGTATTTGAAATTCTGAATCGTTACTACAGCCTACAGCCTGACAAAAATAACTTATGCAGGGGTTCTGCCCAGCATAGACCCCTTTCATGATCTTCTATGTGGAGAGAATCGTATCCAATATTGAGAACAACTTTTTGAAGGTTTTATTTTCTTAGATGACGGTATCGGCCCCTGTCGGGGTTCCCTTTGAAGGCCAGTTTTAGTCCAAACTATCATTTATGTGGAAAAGACCCTGGAACTTACTAAAATCCGGGGATATATTATATAAGCGTTGTACCAAAACGTTGCTACTGGCGTTTCTACATAAAAAAATATAAAATACCAACATTTCACTACAAAGTAAGAAATACCCTAAATCGGAGTTTAATCTTATAAATATAGGGTGAGATAAAAAACTGCAACAAAGTCAAACGCCTTAATTTTTAAATTTGTATACCCTCCACCTTGTAACATCCTTAAATATTCGTCGTAGACCCCATAATGTATATATATTCATAATCAGCATAAAATTCTAAGACCATTTAACGATGTCCGTCTGTCTGTTGAAATCACGATACAGCCCAAATTATTTGACGTAGAGCGTCAAAATTTAGCAGAATTATATGTAATGTGTCTAGGATGGTTGGTATTGAAAATGAGATATTTCGGTCCACGTTTCATGGAATTGTCTAAAAATTGGTATTTGTTAGTCATAATGAGTTCTAGCTCCGTTGGCGAAATATTGTATGTATAGGTCCACGTTTTGGTAGAGCCCCCATATAACGGTACCTCCCAATATTCGGTATTTTGATAATTTTTATAACATTTTTTCACGGATTTGTCTGAAAATTGGTATTTGTTAGTCATAATGGGTTCTAGCTCTAGTGGCGAAACTTTGCATGTATAGGTCCACGTTTTGGTATAGTCCCCATATAACTGTACATCCCGATATTCGGTATTTTAATGATTTTTGCCACACTTTTTCACGGATTTGTCTGAAAATTGGTATTTGTAGGTCATAATGGGTCCTAGATCGTGCGCCGAAACATTGTATGTATAGGTCCACGCTTTGGTATAGCCTCCATATTACGGTATCTTCCGATATTCGGTATTTTGATGGTTTTTGTCACATGTTATCCCGGATTTGTCTAAAAATTGGAATTTTTTGGTCATAATGAGTTCTAGCTCCGTTATGAAATATTGTATGTATAGGTCCACCCATTTGTATAGCCCTATATAGCGGTACCTCCCAATATTCGGTATTTTGATGATTTTTGCCAAATTTTCCCACGAATATGTCTAAAAATTGGTGTTTGTGGGTCATAATTGGTTTAAGTGTTTCTATTACCCTAAGGTGGAGGTATTAAAAGTTCGGTCCGGACGAACTTAATGTTTTTTTTTACTTGTTTTTTTTTTTTAATTTTTTTGAATGAAACACATTTTTGAATAAGTTTAGATTTGTTCGAATTGGTCACCTTCGGCACGAATTATGGCCTTCAAACGGCCAATGAAATCGTCACACGCTGCCCGATTGTTGCTCTGCGGTATTTTGGCCCATTCCCGGCGAATCGGTTGCTTGAGGTGATCGACACTTTGGTATTTTTTTGTGTCAACTTTGCTTTCCAAAACACTCCAGACACAATAGTCCAACGGATTGGTATCTGGAGATTTTGGTGTCCACGGTGCGCTGGAAACATTCTTGGGAGGCGAGTGCTGAGTGCGATGGTGCTGAGTCCTATTGGAATGTCCAAGGTCTGTGGCCAAAATGTTTGCGTGCTCAAAGCTTCGATACACCCTCGAGCGGAGAGCGACCCTTGGCTGTTATGGCGGCCCACACCATCACCATGGCCGGCGCTTGAGTTCAGGTGGCCAACCGAAGTTGTACATTTTCAACTTCGGATCATTTTGTGTTCAGAAACTGCGAACACACGAATGTTTTCTCATCGGAGAAAACCAAATTCGACAGTTCACCACTTTCGGCCAAGCGAAGCAACTCTTTATCTCTATCTATTCTATCTATTTACTTTCTATTGTGGTGTAAGTTCTTGCACTTTTTGGAATTTCAGTGGCTTTAACCCGAGCTCATTTTTCAATATTTGCTGAAAGGAATATTGCAATATGTTCAGCTCATGAACTATTTTTCGGTCACTGCGACGCAGTTTGCGATCCTTTTCCATTTCGTTCCATTTCGAACCATTTCTGCTGATGTTGCTGTTTTCTTCCGTCCACTTTCTTGACGTCGGGCTACGATACCAGTATCATGGTAACTAGCGATGGTACTAGACAAAGAAAGATTTATTCTCATTTAAATGCTGGAGTGCTCTAACGATAGCCACTTGTGGTTTTTTCAGCCAAATATAAAGAAATCATCCTATCACGCTTAAATTCCATCACGAAAAACTTTTTTCTGGAAAATTCTCATCAAAGTAAATTCGTAGGCCTACTATATTATGAGCTGTCAATGGAGTAATTTTAACAGCTGTCGGACGAGTGGCTTAGAAATGACAGCAGTCTGAAGATGGTTGCAGTTTTTTCATCTCACCCTGTATGTAAGAGAGAAGATGAAAACAAACTTTCAATGCGTGTATTCATTTTTAGCTTTGCTTTCAAAATCTGCTGAGTTCTCCCTGTAATTACTTATTTTTGTGTGGCACAGTGTAGTTAATTATATTTTTTAACTGGCACCTGTACAAGCGTCCCCAAACGCATTGTCTCTTGAAACAACAAATGTTTTAAAAAACAATTTTTTTTTTCATTATTTATGTCTGGGGTATGCGTTTTTTGTCTTAAGCGTATAACTGACAGTCCCAACAAATTAAGCAGTGAGTAAGGGAATTTCTAAAAAAAAACACATATTATTATTTCGTCTTCAACGAACTTCATACACACTTCGCTCATGGCGGGGAAGGGGGGAAACAAAGTTCTTTAAACAACACTAGATTTCAGTGAAAATCGGTTTGGGTATGAATAATTGATATTTTAAAGCAAAAATAGATTCCTAGATAAGCCAGTTGATAATTACCAAAAAATTAACTTGATGTTGTTGCTTTGCAACAAATCTATTCAAAATTGGAGCCCCTTATCAGTCAATATGGAGCAGAACTAAATATCACATATTATTTGTGCTTTTTTTTACTCAGTGTTTTAAAGAAATTGTTAGATGAGTTGAGTGATGTTCAGTTTGATGTTTTCTGAAAGAGAGCGAAATGTTGCAAAAGTTGCATACTGAGAGTTTATTAAACATTAGTTGTTGTTTCGATCAGCTATTTTTATACCCTCAGCCATATGGCTACAGAGGGTATATATCATTTGGTAAGGTCAAAACGTGCCTAGTCGAAATAACGGTTTTAGACCCTAGGTCTCTGTGGACCAAATCCGTTTCAGGACTTTTGCAGTCAATCTAGCGATGTCCGTCCGTCCGTCTGTCTGTCTGGCTGGCCGGCAGGTGCGCACGATAACTCTTGAAGGGAGTAACCGATTTGAACCAAACTTGGTACATCGTAATATTTTTGTCAAACTTAGATCGAGTTCGGAGATGGGCAATATCGGTCCACTCCTTCTGGTACCTCCCCCACAAAAGGTCGAAATTTTCAAAAAAAATATTATTTTTTGCACAGAAAGAGAAGCGATAATCCGATTTTGCTGCAACTTTGCAAATCTTAATATTTGCGTCGGTGCTAGGTCAAGTGTGAAAATGGACAATATCGGTCCACTCCATCAAGTACCTCCCCCACAAATGGTCAAAATTTTGAATAATTACAACTCTCATAATATGTGATGAAACAATCCGATTGTCTTCAAATTTCACACCTGCCAATATTTATGTTAGCCCAAGGTCTGATGTTAAGATGGAATATATCGCTCCATTCCTTCTGGTACCTCCCCACAAATGGTCGAAATTTTAACAAATATATATTTTTTGCACAGAAAGAGAAACGATAACCCGATTTTGCTCAAACTTTGCAAATCTTAATATTTGCGTAAGTGCTAGGTCAGGTGCAAAAATGGATAATATAGGTCGACTCCATCAAGTACCTTCCCCACAAAAGGTCGAAATTTTGAATATTCATCAAGCTCTTAAAACACTTAAACAGGATTCCATTCAGACTTTGCACATCTCAATATTTTCATAAACGCAAGATCTTTTATATAGATGGTAGAGATCGGACCATTCGTTCTGGTATCTCCCACACAATGGACCTAAGTTTTGAATAAGCAAAGAATCCGAAATACACATCCTGTTCTCTTCATATTACACACGTCCCATTATTTCTACTAACTCAAGATCTGGTGTGAAGATGGGATATATCGGTCCACTCCTTCATCTCTCAATATTTTCATAAACGCAATATCTTTTATATAGACGGTAGAGATCGGACAATTCGTTCTGGTACCTCCCACACAATGGACCTAAGTTTTGAATAATCAAAACGAGCAAAGAATCCAAAATAAACATCCGGTTCTCTTCATATTACACACGTCCCATTATTTCTACTAACTCCAGATCTGGGGTGAAGATGGGATATATCGGTCCACTCCTTCTGGTACCTCCCCCATATTTGTATATTTTAAATTCGGACTTGTATTTCCCATTTGATGCACAATCAATTTGAAATCAAATAAA